ACCATTCCAAAAGATAGTGTCAACTCCTAAAGTAGCATAAAATATAACCATGCTTTAAAACAGAAGATTGTGAATAAAGCAGTTCAAATTTGTTGCCAACGGAGCGGAATCCTGTAATCCAAATGAAAAAAATGCGGACATAGTAAACTCACTAATTAGATCACAGTCACGCTTCTCCGTAGCGGTTAGTTGGTGTTGTTGAACTTGGGTTTGCTAAAATTTGAAGATGTGAACATAAACGAAATCCACCCAATTTTTACAAATCTAAACCCACAACGGCTGACTGAACCGGTCGAATGCCAAAAACAAATCATTAAAAGCTAAAGTTGTGCCATGCACTCAGAGGGTCTAGTACACAAAAAACTGCTCCTATGTGACAATATTCATGCTGCATAACATTTTGGAATGCTCATAGGTGTTGGACTTAGTTCGATCTGATACACACGAAGCTCGTGCATAACACGACTGAATTCATAACCGTCGTTATGAAGCTTCCCAAGACAGATGTTCGTTGTTTAAACTCAATCTACCCCGTGAAGACGAAGTCACTACCCTCACACCAAATACCTATGTTGGTTTGAGAGCTTAAAGAGACATACAATGTCAGGGGTCGCGTGGAAGCCTGAGGGGTTGGCACTGTCCGATGAGTCGGCCTCCTGGAGCGCGTCACTAGATCGCTGCACAGGCGCAGCGCTCGAACGTCGCTCTGTCGCCAGCTGTTTTGTTCGTTTGCCGGCCTGCACTTGGGACGATGCCTCGTTCAGGGTCTGCAAGTGAAATTACACCTATTAGAGTAAAACTGTGGCTGCTACTCCATGCGCACACTTGGATATTTATAAACGATATCATCTCCCGTATCATATAAAACTGCAAGTGCAAGTGACAAAAACGAGGAAGACAGCCCTCAAGGTCCGCCAGGTATTAACTATAAAATTCATAAAGGCATGTGAAGAAACGAAATTCTTTTATTATTGGAAAAAATAGACCCACTTACAATTGAGAAGCAGATCAGGTCTATCAAGCGACTAGCAAACTATAATTTACACCACAGGCGATGGTAACCAAGTGCAATGAATTCAACCATCTCATATTCACAAACAGCCCCGCGGACATAAATGGATAAGCAAGGTGCAATGCACAACCTGCAGGATATGAAACTTGTAACAACCGATGATAAAATTTCGCTTTGTTTCTCAGAGTGCTTATTATTTCCCCCGAATGGCATGCTAGTTATCACAAACCGCACGCTCCACATAAATAGCTACGCGCATCTTATTCTTGGTTCAATCAAAGCAAAGTGTGGTAGAAGGTGATTCAATAGAAAAAATTGATGAACGAATTGACTGTAGACTGAATTTGGAAGGAACAGAGAGGAGAAGAATAAAATTAAATTAGTTTCTAATCATACATTGTAGCTAACTTCGATCCACTCTTGGTCCACCTCACTAGTCTGGAGTTGAGCTGCCCCTCTCTTCATGCGAACCAGGTCCTACATAGGAAGGATAAACAACCAGAATTTAGAAGAGACCAGGAGGGACAGGTCTCTCTCCCTCTAATAATTAGTTCCTTGAGATGGCAGGCACAATCAGAAATGGTTAGCCAGTGAAGTCAGAAGACTACACATCCTTTTAGTATCCCCTGCTAGGTTTTATTTCAAACGAGAAGCTTTTCTCCCCACAGTAGTAATTTCATCAAATAGACATTAAGTGAACTAGTTAAGGATGACATTACATAATCAAAGACAGTCATTTTAAGAAATCTCGGAAGAACAGAGTATTTTTTCTAATTTTCAATCACAGTTAGAAAGTATTTAGCGCTAACTTTCAAATGATGGATGCTTTAAAACACTAAACACTTATATCTTCTGTAGCGCAACAAACTATCGAAAAGTGGAAGCAAATTTAAAACACCCTGGAGAAGTTTCATGATATGATGAAATTGGAGTGGAGTAACATTCTGTGATAAGTAAGCGAAAGGAACTGTTTCAAATGCGTATTCCGGAATGCATTACATGGATTGAAGGGATTACTCGAATGCTAAGGACCTAAACGCAACAGTAAGTTGACCACCATGATCTCATTTAAAATTAGTAGCCCAAACAATGAAGGTTTTCAATAATCAAACGGCGACACATAAAAACTAGAGGCACCATTGACTAGGAGGAAGTAAACCCTGAGGAACACCACTAAGATGCTGAATATTCTAGAAATTAATTCGCATTTTGTGTCCTATGACCAAAACTGACCGATTTCATTAAATATTTGGTGTTGAGACACGGTATGAACTTGCGTTTCAGTTTGTATTATCTCAAATTCGTAATAATTGGCGCGTCCACCAGTATAAATGCATGCAATGCATGACCTTAACCGCCAGCTCCCTGAATAAAGTCCAAATAGCCGTTCAACGATTATCGCCAAGAAACGATGATGCGACACCCCACCAGGTGAGATCCCATGCAAATTGGTCAGCATTATCCGCTATTTTCTGGATTGTATGTGAAAGAAGAGTACTATCACATCAGTTGGGCATCATCACAGGAAAGACGAGGTGTGTGAGGAGGGCGAGATGCAAGACTCACCAGATTATTGAGTCCCGGCGGTGCCTGCTGTCGATGAAGCATGAGCTCTTCCGTGAAATCGGGATGACGAGTGTTGATGTAGGCCAACTCGATGGCAACAAGATTTGTGACCATCTCATTCGTTGGCTGAAGTCGACGTCTCAGCAACGACGTGACAACATCCACTATCCGCTCATGTAGGTTTGGAAACCGGTACATTTCTTGCTGCAACGAGATCAGAGAGAAAACTGTAAAGAATTCGACTAAAGTGGATCGAATGACTGATGCTAATTCAAAAAAGCAGATAGTACAAAGGAAAAAATCCATATTTTAACTACAACAAAGGCACCCCCAAAGATTAAGTTAAGATAAGCATACCATCCTGTCGAAAGAGAATGCACTCAAATTACGCCATAAACTTGAAGTTCGCCGGTGAAAGATATCAGCAAAATACGTGCATCAGAACCATTTTAACAGACTCATCCATTCAGGTCATATGATTCTCTACCAGAAGAAACAAATCTTTTCAAAATCAGATTACCGGACAGCTAAGACTTATTTGACAATAAGCAGTAAAATTACGACGTCAATTTAGTCCACAACCGTATCCAACAGGCAGGACGTCAGCAGAGATCAGATACTATGTAATGCCGCCAATAAACCAAGATCTGCTTCTTAGATGGATTGTTCGCTAGGATATCATTTAGTTACCATTACTAAGAATTAAAACGATGCGCATCAAATCGGCAGTCCTAGTCTCAAAGGCCCAAAAATCTGTTCCACTAAGTTATCATTTAAACGTTTACTTTAACAGATGCTTTTCTTGTCCGCAACAGTAAACGATCACGGGATTAAAAGTACCAACAGCCTAATACTGATTGTTTTAGGTCCCGATAGGAGGTTATCTCACGAGATACCACGTCAGATCGCCATCATAAACATGGGCAACCCGGTTATACGGGAGTCAGATTAGGTTAGCAAAAGAAACATCTCAAAAATGGCAATGTGATATTAAAAACGCAAACAGAAGAACGGAGAGGACGGATCTCAAACATTACCTGGGTTCCGCAGTGTTGGATAATTCGTTGCATCTCTTCGTGAACAAGTTCCACACATCGAAGACTAGGCTCTTCTAATCGGCGGATTTGTCTTTTCACCAATAATTCGAATGCGACCTCGGGTACAAAGAGTGCTGGCCTGGGACCTGTGGAATTTCGAATGGCCGTAAGAATGTCCAGAGTATTAAGACCGCCAAGGGGGTCGATGCGACCCAAAGTGCTGTAGAAGATTTCGTGAAAAATATAACAGATGCGTGCGCCGCCACATAACTCGGAGGTCTCGATGTCTTTCGAGACACCGTCGATAGTATTGCAGTAGGCCGTGTTGAACCTCGTGATTATTTGAAGCAACAGCTGCCCCTGAATTGGAGAGTAGAGATACAAGGGACTCATGACATTTAAAAAGTTCCATAATAACGCGAAGCAGTCGCTACTAAAGGGGCGGATATCCTGGTTTAGCTGATTCTTAAATTGAAAAAACTCCGGTTTTACATATTACGAATTCCACAGATCAGATAGGGACCTTAAA